GTGGCTACGAACCCTGAACTTCCTTATGCTTTTCCTCACGGTCCTGCTGGTAACTATGGCCTTGGTGCTGGACAAATGAATACTGGCTCCGCTTATGGAAGTGTCGACTACTTCAATGGATCACAAGCCAACTGGGGCCCTAGGTTTCTTCATGGGGGTGCTTGGCCTGACCATTTTTTTGGGACAAGGCAGGGAATGCCCAAACCCGAAGATGGCTTCTGGTACTTGAAAATTTCTCCTTCCTAGGAAAGTGACCCTAACTCGGAAACTCCTAGGCATGGAAGGGAAGGTAACGAATGCAACCACTTATGTAGCCATAAATAACCGATTATATATGGACTTGAAACTCCTAAGTGTACAAGGGAAAGTAACGAATGCAACCACTTCTTTTTTTTTTATTTGGTTGCACAATGAGAGGCAACCATCTCCCATTTCTTATCTCACCCCACCCGCATCCAATGGTGGAGCTAGGAATTTTAGTCTGGGGGCTAGCTTTTCAAGTCTCAAAATAATGCATTGTAATTTTGAAAACTTACTTTTATATTATAAATTAAAATAATACTCAATGAGTTTTCATGTCACGAAATCTATCTATAATAGAGTCTACACTAAATTACCAAACTATTTCCTTTTCAATATAAACAATCAAAGAGTTTGAAAGGAATTCATTCCCCATTTTGCTGCGAAGTCTCGTCTTCATAATTTTCATGATAGAAAGTGCTCTTTTTGTTGTTTTTGTAGAAATTGAAAGAGTAAGTACCAAAGTAATTAATTTGCAAATGAGACTATAGACCTCTAATTTTCTTGTCTCCATAAGCCATTGACATAATTCAAAAATATTTGAAACTTTTTGAAAACCCTGATTACAACTTGTTTCAATCTCATAATATCGAAACTTTGATCTCCAATGAAGTTTCTCCATCTATAAAAAATCCTAAGGTAGCAATTAACAACATAAAACCTTGAAGCACTTAATTAGTTATCAAGATTGATGCACCGAATACGCACTATTTTTAGGCAAGTGAACCTAATTGATTATGCAGTATAAGATGAGTAAGATATTGTTCCCTCGAGGACTATCCTACACTACCAAGACACTATTAATCTAACCTAAGTTGAATTAACCAATTAATGGAAAAAATTAAACTATTTAAAAGAAAAATAAGTAAACTAAGGAAATTAAACTAAAGAATTTTCTAAATTAAAGAAACTATGAATGAGAAGGAACTAGGGTTTGGATTTCATTTAACTCTGAATTATGCAACTGTTTTATTAATTTAATTCAAGTTCAAATAATAGTATTATTGCATGAGATGACGAATTTCCCTAAATTAGTTAACCAGCTTTCTCAAGTCAAGCTAATCCTTCATTTGTTTGCTAAATTAATCATATCTCTATGTAATTTTAAACAAACTAATGAGCATTAAATTTTATCGAAACCTCTAGCTTAAGAAGGGGGAGCTACTAACTCTCTTCTCTTCCACCACTACCACATGTGAGCTAATTACCTCTCGGTCTCATAATCTGGCACACGGTTTATATTATTATTGGTCTAATCTACACAATTCTTTCTCAAGTTCATGCATAAATCACTAAATCAATTGAAAGGTAATCAGGCTTTCAATGCATTAAACTCAATAATATAAACTCACCATGCAAATAACCAATAAATCTTGAATTAAACTAACAAAAACAGTCACATATTCCAAAAATTAAAATTCATCTATCCCTAGTTCAAAGAAATTTAGCTATGCATGATTATGTTGTCAACAGCAACCATAATTCAGTAATTCCAACAGACAATCATGAAAAAAAAAATTCAAATTAAGAATCAACAACACCCGTCCAATGAAGAACAAGCCAAACTTGTGTTGCTGTCCCTCCCTAACAAAGCTGGTTGAGAAGAACAGAGGCTATCGGCGGCGTTGGCTCTTTCACAAACAAATCTGGGTAGGCCTTCTCCCTTCTGCTGGTGAATAGATTTTCAGGGCTTCTTCTCCTTGTTCAGATGCGAACTGATTAGGTATTGCATGTTGGTGTCCTCTTCTTCTGCTGGTGAGCAACAAATGCGGGTGGCTGGGATTTTGGGCAATTGGGTGCTCTTGACCTCTTGCACAGAACAACTCTCCCTTGCGTCTGTGGGGCTCCTCGCATATATATCTTCAAAAATTAGAAGCCCTTATTTCTCTTAACCCTAGCAGACATGGGAATTGGGCTTTGTTTTGGGTCTGGACTGCAGTTGGCCCACAACTAAAAAACATAGCCCAATTCTCTTTATTTATGCACTTTGTCCATTGTCAAAACCATCAACTTCAACTTAAATTCTATATTGATACAAAAGGAACTGGGTTGAGCTCATAAAACATCAATTGTAGCTTTGCTTCTTAGCTTTCCAACACCTAAAGAATCAACTCAATCCGATACCTAGAGAAAAAAATATGGTTAAATTACTGTAGCATGTGCAAATTGTCACTTATTGCAAATTAATTCCTATCTTAATTTCCACCCACAAATAATGAATTTAATATAAACAAATGTGAAACTAGGTTACAAAAGACCCATAAAATTTAATTCTAGGCTTAAAAAGGGTAGATAAATGCATATAAAAATTAAACTCATCAAATACCCCCAAACTTAAATTCTTGCTTGTCCTCAAGCAAAAGAAAGCTAAAGAAAAAAACAGAGCTCATGTACATTCTTCCCCACACAGATAACACAAGGAGCATCAACATTCAACTCAATTTTTAGTTCAAATTTCAGTAATACCAAGCAAGGGAGTCAATGACTATCACTTTCATATTCATGCTCATCTTTAAATAAACCCATGCAAACTTACAATAAGCAACACTGGAACATGTAACCACATACCATGTAATTACCCCTTCTTCTTTTTTTTTCTTTTTTTTTTTTCAGCCATACATCACAATCTTCCTTGAGCTATCACTTATCTTTTGACGCGAATACTAACATTTGTGATAAAAGCACCCGGTTACTCAATAAGTCATAAATTCAAAGTGCTTTGCATACTCATTTTTCAACTCGCCGTTTGAAGTGAAAATTGACATAGGTCTCATGCTAACCCCCAGTTACTAAGCAACTAGAACATTGGAGTAGAAATTAGTAAACTCTTTTGTGTGCTGGCTTATTCCTTCTTTTTTCTTTTCTTTTCTTTTCTTGTCAAGTTTCCTTGGGCTTTCTAAATTACCCACGTAACGAGCTTTTTTCCAATGACTCCCAAACCAGTTGGTTTTAGGGCACTAGGTGAAGAGACACCCCTAAGAGCATACTTACTCAAGTAACAAAGGCCACGAAATATTTGACTTTTTTTTTTTCAAAGTAGTTTCTAAGGATAATTAGACAGGATAGTCATCACAGAAACAATGACACCTACTTAGAAGATGCATATAATTTCCAACCAAACCATTATAAAATCAACTCCTCTCATCAAGGTATTACTAAATTTTGAGCTAATAATCAAAGAAGAACAGTATCCTTCACTTGCAACATCAATGCAACAAAATATGTATAGGCTCATTTGACTATATTCACTCCATGCTAAAAAATTAGATTCACACGCATGTATCCAATACTCTAAATCTTCAAACCACAACAGAAGCAAGAACACAAAAATATGCTCCCCCAAACTTAAAATTAACATTGTCCTCAATGTAAAAAATAAATGAATAGGAATAGGAGAAGAAAAACAATACTCCCCTATCTTGCTCTTCCTGCTGTAGGCATGCAATGTGTTCTTGTAGAGCCAAAAAAATCTTATCGTAGGTGCCTAAGATGCTGCAAGTGCAATAAAAAGCTAACCCAGCCAAAAACTCAACACAAATTAGTCAAAAGAAAATGAATAAAAGAATGAAATAACTCAATGCAAAACAGGAAAATGTCAAATAACAATTTTTTTTTTTTGATGGGTTGCCTCCCATTAAGCGCTTCTTTACAGTTATTAGCTTGACTATTACTGCAAAATGGTAAAGGATCTTTCAATAAAATGGTGGAAATAAATGCTGGAAAATTACCACCTTCAATATAAATTTTCAACCTTTGCCCATTCACCTTAAAAGTTCCCTTAGTATCATGTGAAATTTCAACAACTCTATAAGGGAGAACCTTAGTCACCACAAAAGGACCACTCCATTGAGATTTCAACTTACCTGAAAAAATTCATAATCGAGAATTGAAAAGAAGAACCTTGTCACCCACGTGAAACTCTTTCTTTTGCACATGTAGATCATGCCATGCCTTGGTTCGTTCCTTGTAGATCTTGGCATTTTCATAGGCAGCAAGTCGTAGTTCTTCCAATTCATTTAACTGCAATTTTCTATGTTCACCTACATCTTTCAAATCAAAATTTAAGTATTTAATAGCCCAATATGCCTTATGCTCAAGTTCCACAAGAAGGTGACAAGCGTTACCAAAAACTAACCTATAAAGAGACATACCTATCGGGGTTGTGTAAGCTGTCCTATAAGCCCAAAGTGCATCATCTAATTTGAGTGACCAATCTTTTCTAGACAAGTTAACTGTCATTTCCAAAATTCTTTTCAATTTCCTATTAGACACCTCAACTTGTCCATTTGTTTGAGGGTGATATGGAGTAGCAATTTTATGGGTAACACCATATTTAGCCAATAAATTTTCAAATTGCCTATTACAGAAGTGTTTACCTCCATCACTAATAACAGCCCTAGGTGTGCCAAATCTAGTGAAAATATTACTTTTCAAAAATTTAACCACCACCCTAGCATCATTAGTAGGACATGCAACAGCTTCTACCCATTTACTCACATAATCTACCGCAACAAGAATATATGCTTTGCCAAAAGATGAAGGAAAAGGACCAATGAAATCTATGCCCCAAACATCAAATATGTCACACACCAAAATATTAGTCAAAGGCATTTCATGTCTCCTAGAAATATTACCAGTTCTTTGGCATTGGTCACATGCACTCACATAAGCATAAGCATCTTTAAATAAAGAAGGCCAACAAAATCCACATTGCAAAACCTTAGATGCTGTTTTGGAGGCACCAAAATGACCACCAACTTCTTTGTCATGACAAAAACTCAAAATTGCATCTACCTCTTCTTGTGGTACACATCTCCGAATCATTCCATCGCCACATATCTTGCAAAGAAATGGTTCCTCCCACAAATAATGTTTAATATCAGAAAAGAACTTCTTTTTCTGTTGAAAAGATAAGTCAGGAGGTAAGACATTACTCACAAGATAATTAACAAAATATGCGTACCAAGGTAAAGAAGACAAAGCACACAAAGAAACTAAACACAATTGCTCATCTGGAAACTCATCAAGCAAAAGTTGATCATCCCCACATTCTACATGCACCTCATCTAACCTAGACAAATGATCAGCAACAGAATTTTCTACACCTTTTCTATCCTTAATTTATAAGTCAAACTCTTGCAGCAACAAAATCCATCTCAACAACCTAGGTTTGGCCTCTTTTTTAGCAAGCAGATATTTAAGTGCAGAATGATCAGTATGAACAATCACCTTGGACAAAATTAAATAAGACCTAAACTTTTCAAAAGCAAACACCACAGCAAGCAACACTTTTTCAGTAGTAGTGTAATTCTTTTGAGCATCATTCATTGTTCTACTTGCATAATAAATGGTGTGAAATTTCCTATCTTTTCTTTGTCCCAAAATTGCACCTAAAGCATCATTACTAGCATCACACATTATCTCAAAGGTTAAATACCCTTTTTGGTCCCTCTACTATAGGAAAAAGCCCTTTTTTGGTCCTTGTACCGAAAAAATCCCCTTTTTGGTCCTTACTGTTCACAAATCCGGCCCCTTTTTAGTCCCTCCGTTAAATTTTGACTGAGGTGGCATGTTAATTAACGAAAACACTCATTCCTTTTTTTTATTAAATTACGTGAAAAATCCACGTGGCAAAATGGATGACACGCTAAATTTTTTTATTTTTAATTACTGATATACCCTCATCTTCTTCCCCGACTTCTCCTTCGTCCAGCCTTTTTTTCTCTTTTTTTTCTTTTACCTCCAGGCAAACCAAAGAGCCTGGGTTCGCAAAACCTAAAAGGCAGCCATAACCAACAAAATCTTAATTCTATCTTCTTCTTTTTTTTTTTTTTTTTTCAAGAAACCAAAATCCAAAACAGTAAGTGAATAGGTAGAACATAGAATCTTTTCTTTTCCTACGTATTCTTGGCATCCAAACAGAGCTTCAGAGCACATAAAACAACGAAATTCATAACGATCACCAATTAAGTTACTCAAATAGCATCAATTT